ACGGGTAGGCATGATGGTAGTCGACACAGAGTCTCCTCTTTCCATTTTTCATCTTCATTAATATTATTGGTGCACTGTGTGGGATAAGGGATTGTTCGGTGTAACTCTGCTCAAATAGTTCGTCGATCTCTTGGTTGATGACTTCTTGCATCTTTGCGTTCTTAGGGAAGTACTTCTGATTTATTGGTCGATCGTCTCGCATGATTATTTTATATGTGGACGGTCCTGACATCTCCTCAAATCGTTTTAACTCACTTTTCAGGAGCTTACTCACTTTATTTTTCGCTGGGTTGCCTGCTGGGAGTATGGTTTGGCTTCGCTCTCTTCTCAATTAAGGCGGTGCATGTGACTATCTCGTTTTCTCTTTTGTCTACCCTTAATCTTATTGACTCTCTAGCGCTTCTCAACTCCGTGTTGGCTTTCGGGAGGTAGTTGCTCTGGTATCTATTGCTGCTACTATGCTCTCGCCGTTTACGATCATCTTGGCCAGAATCGGGCCTTGCGTCTGGTTTAGTGCCGCTGCTGTTCTCGAGGGAGTGTTGTGGACCCCACCCCTCGATACTGATGAGGCCCGTAATCGTTTCGCTGTATATTTGTGTAGCGGGTGTGTACTCTATAAATCCACACTTCGAGCAAAATTTCATCTTTGGACTTCGACAGCCGTGGGCGAGATGTCCGCCTCCGCCGCATCGTCTGCATGCGGTTCGTGGGTCTACGTTCCTGACTTGCTGATCTGGTTGGCGTTCTGCTCTCCTTGGTTGGTGTACTCAGGTTCCGATCCTCACGTAATTGGTGGTGGAGCTCCGTCTTGTCATCCACGTTCATAGACTAGTACCGCTCTTCTGGTCGTACAAATGGTACAAATGGTCACGCTGCGGCTCTTAATGGCTCTCTTTCGCTTAAAGTACAGTGGATATTCTCGTCGAGAATTTCGATAAATACGGCTCAGCTTTTCTTCGGCCGTGTAGTTCGCGTGCCTTCAGGACGTAATCTTCAAAACGGTCCTTTAGTAGCTCTGGTAGTGCTCATGGGATTGAACTACGGCTAATATCGTAGCCGTTCGCTAGCTCTTTTACCCGCTCGATAAACCCGTCGTAGTGGAATCGCTATTTCCGACCACTATGTATTATTCGCATATGATGATGTCGCTGGTACGTACACTTGTTCTTGCTCGGGAAGCATGCCGCGTGCTCCCTCGTTAAACGTTTTTGATGACGGATCCCCTTCTATCGCTGTCACTGGATTTAACGTGCCAGTTGGCCGAATATGTCAGATGGCCACTCCGTCAAGCGTATTTGTATGCCTTCTCCTTCACCTTGACTCTGGATGAAGATCCCAAAGCGTTAGCGCAACTCCTCCACTGTTCCGTGCTCTTCAAACCCAAAATCTTCCACGTACCTTGGTAGCTCCTCTCGATTGGGGTAGTACACCCATTTCACCTTGACCATGGCTAAGTGCATACAATAAAATGAATGTGTGGACATGTTTATAAGCCTCAGCGTATGTATATATGTATATAAAGTATCCCTATTTTTTATGTTCAATAGTTCAAGTATGTATGCTTAAATGTTTATACAATATTATGTATGTATATATATATTTGTATGTAATTCAATGAGGTATGTACTTTTCTTCTTGTATGTATGTTATGTGTTATATCCAAGCCCTTACAATTAATTATATGAAAAATACGCATAAGAGGAAAAATACAGTGGGTGAAGTATTATACTGTACTCATTTGACCAAACTCGCTGTTTGTTAAAAGAATGAGCGGTCATATGTTTGCTTTACTCATAACAGTTTTGTTTTGTATACTTTCATTTCAAACATTTCTTCGACACGTTTTGATGTTTTAAAGCAAAAGATGCTCAGTACTACAGAGTATGTGGCCGTAATAGCCGAGTGGTTAGCATTACGTACTGCCACTTGGAAAGCCCGGGTTCGAGTTTTGGTCCGACCAACATCCAAGTTAACATTAAATCCTAGTATGCAACGTCACTGTTTTTTGGTATAAGGTAGGTGAGATTTATGCCATGCCTATATCTCAGGTTAGCTCCGAGTCGGGTGGAGTCAGCCCAACTCATCTTCATGTTCACAGATGTAGTCATGGACTTTACCGTGACTTCTACTCTTGGTAAAGTCTCCTAACCTGACTATTGTCAGTCTGTCTATCGTCTGTCCATCATTTAGTCGTACGTTACAGGTCCAGTTTAACGTCTGTCCGTCTGTGTTAAGTTGGCAGTCGCCATCCATTTCCACCTTAATGCACTAGTGCAACACTCGCGCCGGCAAAATGAGTTATTCCTGCATGGTATCCTTAGTAATTCAATAACGGTGTATATTTTTGAAAACAATAATATATTGAAAAAATATGTACTAATGACACTAATATTTAAGTATATAACCCATTTATGTAATTCTTTCATTCATACAACTAAATTCAAAAATGCAAAAATGCGAGGAGAATGTCAGATGAAAGAGAGAAGCCGATAACCAGTACGTTCTAGAAACGATAAAACAAGAACCTTCCATAGCGAACAATTCGATGCTTCTACGCTTTCGTCTGCGAGCAGCCGACTGCTATATAAGGGCGACACTCAGCTGCAAGTCAAGTTAGTTACAAAGTGATCTGGTTGGCGTTAACATCAGTGAAGTCGTAAAGTAAACGCGTTGGAGATTATATTTAAGTAAAGTAAATTGTGAAAGTTGATACTAGTGATTGTAAATAGTAAAGTGCATTGTAATTGAATTGTGAATTACGGAGTAAATAAAGGACATTAGATTAATTCTTTATAACGAAATAAACTGCAAATTAAGTTGGCGAGTTTTTATTTAACAATCCAGAGATCGTACCCGAGGTTGATTTAGTAAAATCGTAACAATATGTATATTTGCACATACACGTAAGTCTTTATGTACAAGGAATATTCAACATAAGCATCTAGCCTTTTTTATCAGCCACTACTGTGCTCCTTTGAATATCTCTCTCTATTACTTACAATTTTCACCTATCGATCTCGCTTGATGAAGGCGCCAACACAAAGGAGATTATGTGTTGAAAAGTGGTAAAAAACAAACAAGAGCATGTGTAGGTTCAATATAGATGTTCAGACAATTACAGCTGTCTAATATATAAAAAAATTAATTTAAATCTTAATTAAATGAATTAATAAAAAAGTCAATAGTGGAAAGAATTAATTCATTAGTAATTGCTTAGTTACAATAATAACAATAATAACTCATTAAAACAAAAAGTTAGTAATTATTTTGTTACAACTATAAAAAAAAGATTTTGTACGATCCCAAAAAGGAGATAATAGACTACTTACTTCTATGTAAGTACTCCATCCACATATAATAATTCTGTCGGTAATTGAAAATTATCATTGTTAAAATGATACAGTGGTATATGTGTCCACAGGAGACATTTGTAATTCGATGTGTAAATGTAGTGGATTTCTTCCCCTTCCGTTAATGGTGGTAAAGGCTGCAACTACCCATTTCACTTACCAGCCGTCCAAAACTGGCGACGTAAAGGCGAGATACATACACGAGTTATCGACGCTGCTGAGAGCGGCGAAATGTTGCCAGCTGCCAGTGTGTTTGCAATCTTTTGGACAATTTTCTAATTTTCGTCAACGAATTTCATAATTTATATGCTTGAATATAAACGCAAGACAAATATAACAAATAATTAGTTACGCATTTAGTTTTTATTTCGTTTGAAAAAAAACTGCGCGCTTTCTTTGATTATTTAAAGTTACCTTAAGAAAGACTATACTGGCAACTTTGTAAAGCAACGAAAAATGAGTCGAGCCGGTTTTACGGAAAAAATCAAATCGCTGTTGGTTTCTGCGGAACAGCCGTCACTAACGGCATGGGCAAACGGTGACAACTTTGTGTTTACATGGCGCTCTCATTAGAAAGGTTACTATGGACGGCTGGTACGCGCGTTGAGTAGTTGCAGCATAAGTATTTATCTTTTCATCTGTATGTACACGCTTTTGATTTTCATTTATTTTTTTTGTTAGTGTTTGGCTCCTTGTCAGTCATTCCACGGGTTCACTGGCCTTTATAAATAAGGCGACCGTCTTCAGAGAATGTATAATAACGAGAAGGTTCAATGGCAGACCAGCGTGGAAACTGTCAAAAACGAAGTCGAGTCCTGACAGCGTATTTCACCACCGGCACAGAAATTAACAGAACTCGTCTATAGTGCTTAACATTTTGAGCGTAGCAACAAAAATTATGCTCAGAAATGTAATTCTCAGTATTTAAATAACATGGTTATATGTTAACATCAGGGCACGAATTTTTAGATTATTGTTTTCAAAATAAAGGAAAATATTATTTTTTTTTTTAGAATGAAGAAACGGGATGAGTGAACGAAATTTTACTAATATGTTTCCCATGTTGTCTTATAGCAAATATTGAATGCTTTACATCAAAAAGTGTCGAGTTGCCGTCGGCATTTCGCTATAGCGTTTATTCACAATAAGGGTTATTTAATCAATTAAGATGAATAATTTTATTAACTTATAAGTCAAAAATATATTAATTTATAAATATGTACATATGTATACTTATACTATACAAAATACTGACCATCCCCAAGTAATGTATATATATACATACATATGTATGTATATACTTTTATAAATACGCATGTGCAAAAACATACAAGCACATTATTTGCGTGAAAACATACTTCGGCTACTTCGTCCCTCTAACAGGCCTATTCTGTCGTGGTAGCAAAATTTACCTAGGTATTAAAATTTACCATTCAGTAAATTTTGTTACCATTTCGTATTCTGAGCTCACTGTTACCCTCTAAATTTTGTAACCAACGAAAAAGGAGGTAACAAACAATCAGCTGATCGATTTTGTGTTGTTATCTGTAAAAAACTGAAAAATCAAAATGTATAGACATATCTGTTACCAGCGAAGTAGGAGGTAACAAACAATCAGCTGATCGATTTTATGTTGGCAATTTGTAAAAAAATAAAAAAACAAAATGTATAGACATATTTTACGCTTAGAATTAATTGAAGATGAAGAAAAAAGTGCAAGAAGGCGTATGTTAAAGAGCTTGAGAGGAAAAAATAACTCATTTAATTTGGAAGACACCGTTTTCATTCAGCATTTTCGCCTGAACAAACCAGTTTGTTGGGGTCTTATGAACGAATTAGCACCATATGACAAGTGAGTAAATGTTCATTTTTGTTCACAGTTTTTAATTAACCTTTTTTTTAGACAGAAGACATCCTTGCCGTTTTATTTGAGGTTTCTCTCAACAATATATTCCTTTTCCCACGGGTCGTATCAGAAATGCGTTGGGAGCAATTGTCTAACTGCGATGAGCCAGTCTTCAGTTTCACGATCACTGATTGTCAAAATGAGAGCCGGAGAAATTTGCTTCCCAACAACAAGTGAAATGCAAACACAAAATAAGAGGGTAAAAACAACTTTTTAAAACAGTTTATTAAGATATTAATACAATTTTTTGCAGATTTTATTCGAAGTTTGGAATAAAAGGCGTCATTGGTGCAATTGACTGCACACACATTGGCATTATAGCACCTACAAGCAACGACCCTACAAATCCAGCAAGCCTGTATATGAACCGGAAGGGTAATGTAGAGGCAGTGTGTGACGCAAGCCTGAATTTTTTGTCAATAAACGACTACTTTCCTGGGTCTTGTCATGACTCGGGGATATGGACGACATCCATGATTAGAAGCTTCTTAATGGATCAACGTGGGTGTTGGCTCATAGGCGACCAAGGCTATCCTCTGGAACCCTGGCTACTAACCCCAGTTTCAGAACCAACAAGCACGCTTGAGGAAAATTACAATAGAGTACACTGTGCAGCACGCAATGTAATTGAACGTACTTTTGGTGTATTGATATCAAGATTTCAATGTCTCTCAAAGCACCGCATTTTAAACTATAGTCACAAAACAGTAGTATCTATCGTCAATTCATGTGCAATACTCCGTAATATTATCAATAAAACCGCATGCTATACCAACATAGAGCAAATGGAACTGGAGGAGAATGAAATTAATGAAAATATTAAAACTGTGCGAGCAACAACTATCCGGAACGAACTCTTTCGAGAAGCTGAACGGATTCGTGCACATTTGATGCGTATGATTTCGTTTTCACAGTTTTTAATTACTTTGTGAAGAAATGAATAGAAGAAGTATTAAAAAACAATATTTTTATTGTATCACAAATTCAGTCTTCATTGTTTCTGTATTGAGGCATGGCTATATACATATTTACATAAATCTTAATACTACTAACTAAAATGTCTTCTAGACAAACACTAGTGGTGATTGAGTCGCAGGAGTTGTAAATGTGCCCTAAGTAAGCAGAAACTTAAAGTTTTGTGTATATTTAACAAATGGCAAATGATTTACTTACAGGAAGACCCAAGGTTACGCACTCCAATCCATTGACTGCGCCCATGCCAAATGCAGAAATAGCTTGTTCCTCGAACTCTGATAACTCTTCGCCTGAAAACGAACCTCCGCGCAAGCGTTCTGCTTTTAGCTTTCGAGCCCGAGCGTGGAGCTGCTTCTTCCAGTTGCTTAAAGACTAGAATGGAAAAATTTATTGTTTGATAATATACACAAAATATAATATAATGTTTACCTCTTTCCATTTTGTGGCAGTTGTATTCGGCCCATAAAATGAATTTAAATTCAGGGCTATTTCGTCCCACAATCTTTTCTGAACTTGAGGATCATATGGTGTGTTCTTCCCGCTTAGTATCTTTCGAATACTTTGTATGAATTCAACATACCATTTCAGCTGCGCTTTTGTTGTTCTGGCCTTTTTTCTTTAATGAAATTCCATTATTTATGATTTAATAATCAAATAAATGAAACTTACTTATTTTGTTGCGCTCCGTCCATTTTGGTGTATGTATCATTCTTTTTTACTTTACCAAATGTTGTATTTTGACAACAACGAAAAAAGCAGTGCTGCCAAATTTTTCTCAATTATTACAACCAGTTCGCCATAATACCAAATTCAATTTCGGGTGATAAAGAAAAGTAACAAAATTTACTTTACCGGTAACAATGAGAATAGGCCTGTCAGTAAATTTTGATTTCATTTCGTATTCTGAGCTCACTGTTACCCTGTAAATTTTGTTACCAGCGAAATAGGAGGTAAAATACATATCTGCTGTTTGATTTTGGGTTATAAGTTTGAGAAAAAAATAAAAAAGTGGGTAGGCATATTTTAGGCCTGGAAACGTTGAAGATGAAGAAAAAATTGCAAAATGCCGTATTTTAAGAAGATTTCGAGACTAAAAATTTAATTGTGAGATAGCATTTTCATTCAGCTTTTTTTTGGTTATCCAGGCATATTTTCCATAATTAGGTTCAAATATTTTTGATTTAATAAACAAATTAATATAACTTTTTAATTTTTTTGTGCACCGTCTTCCATTTCGATGTGAAAATTTTTCTTTTTACCGTATCAACTGGCAAATGTAATTTGACATGGACGAAAAAAACANCGATTGCACATGAGTTAAAAATCATGAAGAAGCGTATACAAACCACCATGGATACCATTCCATCAATGTGCAAATGGTGAGAGTAAATTTGTTTCCGATTGCTATTGTAGTAACAAAGTTAATAATATTTTCACATAGATATATGGTCCTTATCGCAAGATTATACTGGCAAATGCCAAGTACCCAAGTGCGCGGCACAATTATTTTATTTGGAGCTCCCCTATAGAGCGAAGAGTCATGCAAGAAAGTGCAAACCATAACATGCTATTGAAAAACTTTGTAATGCATTGCTATTCTTTTAATTAAAATAATTTCAATAACAAATTTATTTGTTTTTGTCATTCCTATTTGTGCTTTTCGTACATTTTGACGTTTCGTTGAGATGTGGTGCCACCTTTCCTACATTTTAATAAAATGGAAATGTGCGATGTCGATTATCGTAACAACTGCGTTAGAGAATCACATAATCGTTAGCGCAAGCGACAAAATTCGCAACTTTGCGATCCGACAAATCGTGTCGATAAAAATTACAGAATTGCACTGCTGTAAAAACCTAATTTTCGAACTGAAACCAAATACAATACAACAATAATATTGTTGCGAAAATGCGAGGCGAATGTCAGATGAAAGAGAGAAGCCGATAACTAGTGCATTCTAGAAACGATAAAACAAGAACCATCCATAGCGAACAATTCGATGCTTCTACGCTTTCGTCTGCGAGCAGCCGACTGCTATATAAGGGCGACACTCAGCTGCAAGTCAAGTTAGTTAAAAAGTGAACTGGTTGGCGTTAACATCAGTGAAGTCGGAAAGTAAACGCGTTGGAGATTACATTTAAGTAAAGTAAATTGTGAAAGTTAATGGTAGTGATTGTAAATAGTAAAGTGCATTATAATTGAATTGTGAATAATTGAGAAAATAAAGGACATTAGATTAAAACCTTGTAACGAAAGAAACTGCAAATTAAGTTGGTGAGTTTTATTTAAGAATCCAGAGATCGTACCCGAAGGAGGGAGTTGGCAAAGAGAGGATTGTCGACAACTGGAAATAAGGCAGAGCTGGTATCGAGACTGCGAGAAACAATGGAAGTTGAAGGCATCGACTAGAACCTGTACGAGTTCCAGCGCGAGGATGAAGATGTTACATTGAAGGACATTGACAAGGAAGAGGCAGATGGTCCTGTGAAGGAGTTGGAATCACCATCAAGTAAGATTCAAGAAAAAGCTCCTGGTTCATCTAAGGGTATTGATATGAACATGTTATTGACTGCGATCTCACAAAATATGTCTCAAATGATGGCTGCACATGAAGCCAGCATTTCACAAAAGTTGGATGCACAGGACACAAAAATGAACGCCAGCATCTCACAAAAGGTTGATGCACATGACACAAAAATGAACGCCAGCATCGC